TTTTGGTACAGTGACTCAGTGTATTCCTTCCATCTTCTCTTGACGCATTCTGCATCATTCAATAATTTTCCCAAAGAATCTTTCAATAACGAAAGTCAAGGCTTGAATTTTCTTAAGTAAGGTGACTGTCAAACATCTCACATGAGATTTGGCTGTACTTAAAAAGGGAAAGTGATTACTTAGTCTCCGACTTTATTTTCTTGATCAGACCATACTCAATTCTGTATGCTGCCCTGAGAAAATGGATGCAAAGAACTTAACACTATTCATATGAAGAACAGCTGAAGTCACTATGAACTATTATTTTCATTGACCAAAGACTATAGGGTGTAGAGACAACAACAGGACAAAGAAAACTGTCTATACATAGTAAGGAGGAATTAGATTGGTCCTCTGATCCAAAGACGTACACAGGAAGACAGATTTGCAGTCATCAGGGGTAAAACCTTTCTAAGAGTTATGTCAGGTCATTAGAGAGGAAGTTAAATCTTGGTAGGTAATGGAAGGAGGCCTGGTAGTACAGTGGTAATAATTAGCTGCTAACACAAAATTGGCAGTTCAAACTTACCAGCTGCTCTGAGAAAGATCTGGCAATCAGCTTCCATAAAGATTCCGTCTTGGAAACCAGTTCTACCCTGTCCTACAGGGTATAATGAATCAGAACTGACTCATTAACTACGGGTTGCAGTTAATGAGTAGGTATGACCGCTCCCTGCCACTAGAAGTGTAGCATATGGAGAATAGGTGCGATACTTTATGTGGTGTGTGTGTGTGTGTGTGATGGGGGGTGTAGAGAGTAGAAGAGAACACTTCAAGAGGTTGAAACAGGTATCTTTAAGGTTTTCATCAATCTTGAGAATTTGAGTAATTTTCTAACACAGCTGAGGCTTAAAAATAGCATACTATTAATTCTATCTGGACTTGTTTCTCAAAACCATTGGAAAGATCTCTTGGGGCGAAATTACGACATATAATTTTTATACAGATTTTTGAAGGTAAGCTTTGTAAACCCAGAGCTGTGTCACAACTCAAAGTATCACAAAATGCTTGTCCCTGATTCTGATGCCTTTGCTACTACTCTTCACAGAACTTCAGTAACACTTTCTTGGAATCCTGGTATGGCATTGTAGGATAAGCACTGGACTATTAACTGCAGGGTTGGCACAAAGCAACACCACCACCTCCTTACAAGGATTTAGCATTTCTAAGTTGTTTCAGTGTGAAACAAATTTTATAATCCACAAACGAGTATGATGGTACCACTTCTGCAGTCACAATAACTTGTAAGAACCAAACATACTCCAATGTATTTGATCACATGAAAAACAGCAACGTGCAGATCAGGCTCATTTCTCCTAGGAAAAGGAAATGTTTTTTCTGTTTTCTCTCCCCTCTTTGTGGGTTCCAAACCAGATCTTACCTTGCACTGAAAATCAGATCCTTCGTATTTCATACACCCGGAAGCTAATGTGGTTTCTCCTTGGTCATCTTCTTCTATGATGGCAAAGCAATGCCCATTAGTGCTAGAAGAGGGGGAACAGAGGTATAACTTTACATCAGAAAGCACTAATTGTAATCCTCAAGTTGTTCTAAACTTGAAGTCATTCTCTGACATCACTTTTAAATTAACAGTTTAGCCCAAAGAAAAAGATTTTCACAATTTACTGTTCACAGAATCACTCATTTTCTATTAGGAGATGTTAGATGTTAAGTATTAAGGATGTTGTTATTAAGTGCAGTCAAGTCAGTTCCAATTCACAGAGATCCTGTATAGGGGTTCTAAGGAGTAGCTGGGGAGTTTGAACCATCAACACTGTGGCTAGCACTCTGGTGCTTGTACCAGGACTCTATATGGGAGATTGTTTTTAAGTGCTGTTGAGTAGTTTCCAACTTGTAGCTACTCAGTATAGGGTTCCTCAGACTTTAAAAAAAATCTTTGCGGGAATAGTTAAAAAAAAAAAAAATCTTTGCAGGAGTGGCTGTTAAGATCGAACCATCAACCCTGTGGTTCACAATCCAGTGCATTTTCTGCAGAGCCAATGCACTCATGGTATGGAAAATAGTTCTATTAAAACTGATGATTCTTTTACTTGGGGTTACCAAAGCCATTAACAAATAGCCTAAATATATTAGGAGCTACTAACAAGAATTTGGCCAAAGATTACTTGGTAAATGTTGTGAAATGAGTTCCTTTATGTGGCCTTTTGCCTTGGTTCTTGGTAAAAACAGCTCAAAAGAGATATTTTCCCTCTAAGCTCTCTAAGCCCTGAGGGGTTGCCTTTGTCCTAGTAGCAAAACCCCAGAGGACTTGTTATTTTTATCCAGGTCGAATGACATTTCCTGGGCAAACTGTAAAACAACCTGGTTTGATACTTTTGGAGTGGGCTCCAGCGTGCCCTGCTGATTGGCATGTACCTTGCAAGGATTAGTAAATATACTATGCAAATGAGATGACTATATAGTCTACTATGCAAACAGTGTCTGAGGTCTACCAAGAGGGCATTGGTCCATTTGTGGCTCCTGTTGGTTGGGAGGGGTCATGCCTTAAAATTGACATGGAGTTGTGTATATTACCATCCAACCCCACACAGGTTTTCCTAATAGAACAAAGAGGATAGAGATGTAGTAGGACCAAAGCAGCAGCAGAGACAAAAAAAATGAGGAACCTCATCTAAACTGTAACACTGAAGGTGGTGACAGGCCCCATGGGAACCAGCAGTTGACCCAACCTAACAAAAAGATCCTGGAAGGGGCCCTGATAACAGGTGGCAGGGTTGAGAGAGTGTCCTGAGTCAGCCTGTCCTCAAGAGCTGTAAGAGCTGTCCTATAGTGAAGTAGGGTGACTTTGCCTACATGCTTCCTAATCCTTATCTTGATTTGTAGCCTGCTGATCCTGATCCCCAGTTGAACCTCATTATTTCCTTAGTAAACTGCTTAATTAACAAGTGGCGGTGGTGGTGGTTATGTGCTGTGGAATCAGTTTAGACTCATAGTGGCCTTGTATAGGGTTTCAAATCGTTATTTACCTGTAAATCCCATGGAACTGCCGGTGGTTTCAAACTGCTGCCCTTGAGATTAGCAGCCTAACTCGTAACCACTATGCTACCAGAGCTGCTGCTACCACCACCACCACCACTACCACCACCATTTTACAATGATTAACTGCCTACATGAACCATGACCTCATCTACTCTGAGACTACAAGTACCAAGTGGTACCCTACTGATGGCTCTGACCAAGGACACAATAGATGGTCCTGGATAGAATGAGAGAAAATTATAAAATGAAACTCAAATTCTTAGAAAAAAAAATTTTTTTTTAAAGGCCAAATGTGTAGGACTGGTATAGTTTAGAGGAACCCCTAAGACTATCATCCTGAGAAACCCTTTAAACTGTGAACTTGAAACCACTCCCAGAGGTAATCATTCAATCAGAATGTAGAAACCTGGGATAAACTTCACTTCCACCTCACAGGGATTAGCTTTGTGCTGATTCTTATATTAAAAGTTATTTATACAGTGACATCACAGGGAACCCAAACCTATAGACAAACTCACTGGCAGCCATAAATTACCCCATAGTCTTTCATGGCTAAATCAACCACTACTTATCGAATTTCAAGATTTTTAAATGTTAAAATTTATGCTTTATATCTAGTCACCTTCAGAGAGTACAAAATTATTAGTAAAGTATAAAACATGACATTCTTGTTGATAAGTGTCGTTGAGTCGGTTCTGACCCATAGCGACCCTGTATAGGGTTTCCAAGAAGCGACTGGTGAACTTGAACCACCAACCTTGTAGTTCAAATGGTTTTGTAGTCTGGCACATTAAAATATATGGCCACACCAGGACTCAAGCATGACATTAGTTCTAACTTTTAAAAGTGAGATAACCAACTGACATGTGAAATTGAGCTGTTCACAGATATTTTTTGGCTAGTCAATTTTTTAATGATCCAAAGAAAATGGGACAGAATGAAATGATTACATGTACATAAACTGAACAGTTTACATAGCAAAATGAAAATGGTTATAGAAACCAGATTTGAACTGGGGGTGAGGAAAGTTTTTATGTTATAAGAAAAAAGCATAAAATTACACAATTAACTATCACATCCTTCTATTTATTTGTAAAATACTACAATTTGTAGGAAGGTGTAAGCAAAATTTTATTTTAGTCTTTGGTTATTTCTAAGTGTTCTACAGTGAGTATTAGTATGATAAGTAAAAGTTTATGTAGAAGTTCATTAAACAGGTAATAGTTTTCATCTTGTCTAGATGGGTCTGGTGAAAAGAGATGGGGATAAGATTCTTATGATTCAATAGTGAGTAATTGTTATCATAACTAATTGCGACTGCCATAATTGTAAAGGTAGAAGTTTTGTAACAAAAACAGGGGAGTAGTTAATCTTACAGTCCAGAAACAGAGGACCCTAGGACCATCAAGGGAGAAAAGCACAAGCAGGATGTATGACCCTATCCAGAGAAGCAGCAACACCAGAGATGGGGACATGGAAAGAGGGAGCAGCTGAGGACTCTAGATTCATGGAAAGAGAGGAACTGAGAGCTGGCGGCCAGGAGGCAGACTTGCAGAATGTGCCTTTTGGTGGTTTAAATTATTATATATTCCTGAGTGTACATTCTCCCACCTCCCCAAAAAACAAACAAACAAAAAACAGGGAGGGAATGGAAGCAAATATTGTTGGATGATGATACATGGAGGAGATTGTAATCATTGCAATGAAACAATGGTGTAAAATTGATGTTCTCCCATGTAGCTATCACTCAGTACACACACACACACAAACATTAGTAAAACAAAAAGTTTATTAAACAAACTCAAAATATTAGACATTTACTAGATTATTTTATCTCCTATAAAAAGCTATAGTTATATTATTAGTCTAAGAAAGTAATTTTAAGTCACTTAATTGCAATGACTGTTATTATATACAAAATAAGCAGCTTTCTGGCTCTTGGGAAAGATATTATATGAAATTAAATTTAAAATACAATTTTTAAAATAGCACTAAATGTTACTCTGTTCTCGTAACTCTTCAGAATGACTGCATAACATACTTACATGCAGGTGTTATTAACAGCATCATCTGGGCAATGTCCTGAGCAGTAGCACTTAAGAAAAGGCAAGGTATCCTCGGGTGCTAAGGTTATTCCATTTTCTGACTTCTTCTGGTCAGAGTCTGATTTCATCCCTGTGCCACGGAGCTTACTGTCTAGATTCTGCCCTGCAGTCAAATAGACAACTGGTAAATAGAACATTTCTAAAAACAATCTTTTGATTGCAATTTCTAGTCAGGAAAAGTCTCTAAAAGCTTTCTTAAATTAATAGAATAATTACTGCTCAATATTTCTTATATGAAAAAAGTTAAGATTCACTCACACAATGAACAGACCTTTAATGAATTACCTATTATGTAAACAATTACCGTACCAGCTATTGTAGGGTACATGGAGATGAATGTGTCAAGTGAAATATTGCTGTTAAGTGCTGTTGACTCTGACTCATAGTGACCCTGTATAGGGTTTCTGAGGAGTGGCTGGTGAGTTTGAACTGCTGACCCACTTGCAATTCAAACCAACCTCACAATCCAGTGCTTACCCTACAGTGTCACACCAGGACTCCACTGAATTATCGGTAAGAAAATTCCAAGAAGGACAGAAGGGGGAACATGGTCATGGCTCATAAGAAAGGTACAGAAAAGTGGAGAGAGGTTCAGGGAAAACAGGCTGTTTCCAACCATTAGAAAATTTTAATTCTTAAAATTCTTCAGTTCAAGACTTGTGACTACTTCTTTAAAAATGTGAATTGTGCCTCTACGTGGTAATGGAGTTAGTAAGCATACTGATTTGGACTGTTAAGTGCGTTGGAAATGGAATTTGAGAGCACAGGAACTAGCCATATTATCTAGTGCCTTTCATCGTAAGGTCACTGGTTCAAATCTAGACCAGAATGCCAGAAACTGAAGGTTACTGTACAGCAGTCATTAGCTTATGAGAAAGGAACTGTGTTCTTGCATTAGTCTAGTAGCCTCCAATAACAGACTGTCATATTTACTATGCAATCTTTCAGGCTGGAAGTAGAATTAAAATATCTGTTTTAGTTAACTCCTTCATCAGAATCATCTGAAATGGGCTTCAGCATTCTTTGTAGGAAAGCAAAACAGGTAGGAAGTGTAAGAGAGAGCTTATATTTTATTGTAATGCTAAATAAGTGGTCTAAAGCATAATGTGTGTATGTCATAAAATTTAGTTATATTAATAAGGTGAACTACTGAAAAGACCAGAAAACACACAAACACTGACAACTAGAAAAAATGTGATGTTAAATAAGTGTTCTGTGATTCCATTCCTTGAATTTTAATAACCTCCACTTTCTTAAGCTGAATATTTAGTAAAAGGGTTCACTACTGAATTATCTTTACTAACAAACAAATACTAGATAATACTCACTCCCCTCACCATATCCCTTTTTAGGAACAAATACTACAATACAAGAGCAAAGCTTTGTTTATACTCTAAGCTACTACACAAAACTGAAAGACGTCATTTATTTTCAAAACCAGTAATTAGAAAAGATGAGGCTTTCTGCTCCGACAAAGATTTGCAGCCTCAAAAACCCTATACAATGTCGCTATGTGTTGGAACTAACTCAATGGCACACAACAATGAGAAAAACCCAAGTATAACAAAGATACAGGACGAAAACTCCAGGAAGGAAAGAAATTTCCTAGGCCAGAAATGAGGAGACCTAGGTTCTGGCTTCTTCTGGTTCTACCACAATTTAGCTAGCTGGAAGATCTTGGGCAGGATGTCACCTCTCAGGTTTCTTTCCTCAAGGAGAATATGGAATGAGTGTCTTTTAAGCAGCTTTAAAATCATTACGAATCGGGCTGCGAACCTCAGGGTCAGCAGTTTGAAACTACCAGCTGTTCCAAGGGAGAAAGATAAGGCTTTCTGCTCCCGTAAAAATTTACAGCCTTGGAAACCCTGTACCGGGTCGCTATGAGTCGGAACCGACTCCATGGCACATAACAACAACAACAAAATCATTACAACAAAGTAACAACAAAAAATATATCAAACTACCCCAAGAACCCATTGCCAATTTTGACTCAGAACAACCCTATAGAGGGTTTCTGAGACTGTAAATTTTCACAGGAGCAGCCAGCCTCATCTTTCCCCCCAAGGAGCAGCTGGTGGGTTTAAACCACCTATCTTGACGTTTATCCTACAGCTCCACTGGAGTTCCTTACAATAATGTTTTTAGTTGTTAAGAGTTGTCAAGTCAGTTCCGACCTACAGTGACCCTGTAATACGGTTTCTAAGGAGTAGCTGGTCAGCTTGAACCACCAACCTTGCAGATCAAACTGACTTTGCAATCCAATGCATTAACCCACAGCATCACCCCAGGACTCCCCTTATAATAATAGGAGTATTAATTTAATTGTGGAAAACAAATGACAGAAAGTGTATAACATGTGATTGATTCTTAGAAAGGTAATGATATGCAGAAAAAGGGTGTAGTGTGGTGGAGGTAACACTGAAATAACAATCTGAGGTCAAGGAAGAGCTCAAGCTGTAGTTATGGCCACAGACAGTTACTCTATGAACCTCAGCTTCTTTATCTACAAAAACCAGTGATGATAAAACCTGCACAAGCAAAATCAGAAGATATTCATATGGAAATGCTATTGAGAATCAGAGATAACAATCTCAATTACAATAATTTCATCTAATGTTCATATTATACCAGATATTTATTCACCAAGACATGGTGGTGGTGGTGGTCATGTGCCGTGGAGGTGGTTCCGACTCATAGCGATCCTGTACAGGTTTCCAAGGCTGTAAATCTTTATGGGAGCAGAAAGCCTCATCTTTCTCCAATGGAGCGGCTGGTAGTTTCGAACTGCTGACCTTGTAGTTCACAGTCTGATTCATAACCACTACGCTACCAGAGCTCCTTAAGACAGTAATTAAGGGTCTACTTTATGTAGGCACATTATTGCTCTTTTTAAGTGCCGTCAAATTGGTTACAACTCATAGCGACCCTGTATAGGGCTTTCGAGGAGACACTGGTAGTAACCAACTTTGTGGTTAGCAGTTCAGTGCTTATCCTACAGCGCCACACTAGGACTCCATGTAGGCACATAGTAGGGCTTTAATTAGTGTTTTGCTGAATAAATATTTAAAATGGCATGGGTTTTGGTATATGTAGGCAATCCTGCTTGCAGACAGTCAAGAGGACTTAAAGCACTTACTGATGAAGTTCAAGAACTACAGCCTTCAGTATGAATTACATCTCAACATAAAGGAAAAAACAAAACAAAACAAAACAAAAAAAACCACACCAGGAATCCTCACAACTGCGACAATATGCAACACCCTGATAAAGAGATAAAATATTAAAGTAGCAAGGATTTCATTTTACTTAGGTCAATAATCAATGCCAATGAAGATCAGTCAACAAAAATTAAACAATAAATTGCATTGGGCAAATATGCTGCACAATACCTTCTTAACGTGTTAAAAGAACCAAAGATGTCACTTTGAGAACTAAGGTTTAACTGCCCCATGCCAGGGTATTTTCAATTGCTTCACATGCATATGACAGCTAGACAATAAATAAGGAAGACAGAAAAATTGATGCCTCTGAATTGTGTTGATGAAGGATATTGAACATATCACAGACTATGAGAACAGGAAACAAATCCATGTTGGAAGAACAGCTAGAATGCTCCTTAGAAGCAAGGCTAGCAAGGGTTTGTCTCACATACTTTGGAAGTTGTCAGGAGGCCCCAGTTCCTGGAGAAGGACATTGTATTCAGAAAAGTATAGGATCATAGAAAAGGAGGAAGACCCGCAATGAGGATGACTAACACTGGCTGTGACAATGGGTTCAAAACAAGCAATGACTATGAGGCTGGTGCAGGATTGTGCAGTGATTCCTTCTGTTGGGCATAGGCTCACTGAGTTGGAATCGATGTAACGGCGCCTAACAATGACATGTGCAGGCAAGGTACTAAATGCTGAAAATACAATGCGTTAAACTGATTCGGTCCTTGAAAAATGAAGGAGGTGAAAAAAAGGAGGAATAAGGACAACAGATACAACACAATGTGAAAAGTGTTTAAAAATAAAAAAGGTACTATGTAGACAGAAGAAGTTAATAACAAATCCAGTCGGGGGTGTTAAAAACAAAGAAATCTGAGTTACATCTTGGAAATTCTAAGATTTCACTAAGCAGAGGAATGGATGTAATGAAATAGAGACAGCAAGAGTCTGCACTCAGTTAGGTATAGCACCCATTCCGATGGCTTTAAACACCATCTCTTTGTCGATAGTTCCTAGATTCATCTGTCCACTGTTGACTTACTTCTTGTTGTTAGGTGTCACTGAATTGAGTTTGTTGTAACAATCCCATTTGACAGTACAGAGCTGCTCCACAGATTTCTAGGCTGTAATCTTGACAGAATAGATGACCAGGTCTTTCTCCTGAGAGCTGCTGGGTGGAGCCCAACAACTGCCAAGCTGTTAGTTAACAGCCATGTACTTAATTGTTGCAACACTAGGATTCCTTGTTGACTTGCTTAGTGGTGGTTGGTTGTGTGCCACTAAGTCAGTTCTGACTCACAGCAGCCTTGTATAGGGTTTCTGAGGCTGTAAATCTTTTAGTGAGCAGAAAACCTCATCTTTCTACTGCAGAGCAGCTGGTAGATTTGAACTGTTGACTGTGTGGTTAGCAGCCCAACACATAACCAACCAGGGCTCCTGTTGTCAAGCACCATCAAGATGATTCAGAGCACAACGGAACAAAACACTGCCCAGCCCTACGTCATCTTTACAATTGTTATGCTTGAGTCCATTGTTACTGCCCCTCTGCCAATCCATCTCACTGGGGGCCTTTCTCTTCTTTTGCTGACCCTCCACATTACCAAGCATGGGTGCCCTCCGGGGAATAGTCCCTCCTGATAATATGTCCGAAGCATGAGAGACGAAGTCTCTCTACCCTTACTTCTAAGAAGCAATCAAACACAGGCTTGTTTGTTCTTCTGGAAGTCAATACTACTTGTAATATTCTTCTCCAACACCATAACTCAAATACATCAATTCTTCTACAGTCTTCCTGATTCACTTGTCCAACTTTCACATGCATATGGAGCAATTAAAAATACTATAGCTTGGGTCAGGAGCACATTAATTCTCAAACTGAGAGATTTGCTGTTTTCAACACTTTAAAGAGCTCTTGGTTCAATAGACTGGCCCAATGCAATACATCCTTTGATTTCTTGATTGTTGCTTCCCTGAGTTTTGATTGTGGACTCAAACAAAATGAATGAAGTCTTTGACAACTTCAATCTTTTCTCCATTTATCACAATTATTACTTATTGGGTCCGGTTATGAAGATTTTTGTTTTTTTTTTTACATTGAGGTGCAATCCATACTGAAGGCTGTAGACTTTGATCTCAAGAGTATTTTGAGTCCTCTTCGCTTCCAGCAAGCAAGGTTGTATCATCTGCATATTGCAGATTGTTAATGAGTCTTCCTGCAATCCTGATGCCAAGTTCTTCTTCGTATAACACAGATTCTTGGATTATTTGCTGAGCATATTGTTGTTAAGTGCTGTCAAGTCATTTCTGACCCATGGCAACTCTGTATAGGGTTCCAAGGAGTGGCTGGTAAGCTTGAACTGCCAACCTTGTGGTTCAAACCAACTTTGCAGTCCAGTGCATTAACCCACAGCACCACATCAGGACTCCTGCTTAGCATATAGATTGATAAATATGGTGAAAGAATACAACTCTAGCATACACTTTTTCTGATTTTAAACCATCGGTGCCCCCTTGTTCTGTTTGAATGACTATTTCTTTGTCTATGTACAGGTTACTCATATGCACAATTTTAAGTGCTCAATGTAAGGTACTTAAATTTTATCTCACCATATTTGATGCTGAAAAATTCCTATTATTACCCGAGGGTTGTTGTTGTTGTTAGGCACTGTGTAGTCGGCTCTGAATCATAGCTACCCTATACACAATTCACAACAGAATGAAACACTGCCTGTCCTCCAGCGCCAGAGGGTAAGTGTTATCATTTCTACTTTATAATAAGAAATTCAAAGACAGATACATTTTCTTCACCAAGACTTAAATCAAGATAAAGTTATAGGTGAAGTTACAAGAATTTTGCACTAAGCATTCTGCAATCATTCTTTGCTATCTCTAAGAATTTTTCTACATTGATTTGAGTTCTTAATTTTCTTTAATAGCAAGTATCTTGCCATCATTTGAAACAACTGTCAAACATTAATGTTTACAAGGAAGCGTAAAAACATTTTAAGATTTTTCAATTTGTATTTAATTTATAGCTAATTACCAATTTATTACATTCAATGAAAAGTCTGCGATGTAACACCTTGAGTTGAGGATGTGGGTGAAGATTTTATATCATATTGTCTCTGTGTATCTTCTATAGATTAAATAAACTATGGTAAAATAGAAATTATCTGGGAGTGAAGAAGCCAAGATAAAAGTTACTATTAACTCACCTTCAAAACTATACAAAAAAAGCATATTAACAATGGGTGTTAAAACAAAGACTTTTATAAGAGAGCGCTGTATTCTGAGCATAATAATGTTATGCTAAGTGCACTCAAGTCGGTTCCGACTCACAGCGGCCCTATAGAGGGTTCCCAAGAAGTGGCTGGTGTGTTTGAACAGCGAATCTGTGGCTAGAAGTCCAGTGTTATCCTACAGCACCACACCAAGACTCTCAGCAAAATAATAATGACAGTGTTATACTTAGGACAAAACACAACAAAGCTATAGGTTTCATCATATGTTTGTACTTAAAAATGAAAATTTCAAAATACTAAACTGCTAATCTTGCTTTCTTTCTTTTTTTTCTGGGTAGCTATTAATCCCCATCTCTGTGAACAAAACATTATGAAAGTGGAACTTGTAATGTCATAAGCTTAAAAAAAGTAAAGATAGTAAACAAGTTCTATTTTAAAATCCTTTTGCAAAACAGTAGTATCTCTTTAGTTTAAAATATTATCCTAATTAAACCATACAGGAAACAGCTATGTGTTAACACAGTCCAATCTGATCTTAAGAGATACCGTAAGAACTTCCTGTTTGGGAATCCAATAGTAAAACAGGAGTAATGTTTATAAACAAATATTTGGTACTCTATGAGGAAGGTTTTAGGGTTTTGAATATGCAAGTACCATTAATCTTTCTAAAGTCTTTTAAAGACAATAAAGAGATTAGTATAATTTATACTTATCCCTTATTGTATTTTAGAGACAGATATGTAAACACCATTACTGAGTACCTATTACCCTGCGTTTCAGATAGCCACTGTTACGTACTGTATACCTTGTTTAATCCTCACAATTATTTGGTGTTATGTACCATAATGCCTATGTTAAAGATGAGAAAAATAGGTTCAGAAAGGCTGGAATTTTACAAAAACCTGAATATCTTCCAAATCATAGTCAAGTGAAAAAAATAACTTGCATATTTTGCCTCTTTTCTTAAAAAACTTTGCTGTTATACCGGGGCCTAAATATTCAAAGAGGGTCATGAATTAAAAGAGCAGTTGCAAGAATGAGTGCTATCAAAGATGATTAGGTTGCTTAAATGAACATTGATTTACCTTGAATATGAGAAATGATGACCAGATAGGCTCCCAATAATCTGATGCAAATATACAGCTGAGTCATTGTTCGATTTTTAATGTTTCCTGCACAGTCACCTTTAGTAACTGAGTTGGTTATTTCACTAATTTAAATGACCTTTAGTCAATGAGATTTTTCTCGTAAAAGACTGCAATCACTTGACAATGACTCCAATTTCACTGCTTTCTCCTGGCTCCTGAAAGATAAAAAGATTTAAAAAGCAATCAACATCAACTAAATTTTGGAAAGTTTTGAAAAACTAAGAGAGGAAAACAAATGTTCTAGTATTATTTAAAATACACTTTAAAAGATTGAAGCTATCCTTGTTTGAAGAATACAAAAGGCAGCGCAATTCAAAAGCTTCTAAGAAGCAAGCAATATTTACTAGGCTTCAAAACATCTTGCTATATAAAGATAAGTCAAAAAGTATGGCCACAAAAATCAAAGACACCTTTACTAAACAAAAATATTAAAGTTACTAAATCTACACACTTTTAAAAGAGCAGTTTTTACCTCTCTAACCATTCCTTGAAGAATTCTGAGTTTTTATTTATTTTTTTATTTACATCATGCCAAAACAGCTGTTTAGGAATCTTCCAGGGAATCAAATCATGTGCCTTTTTAATGTTATTTGAGTTTGGGGACAAAATTGGGACTGTAAGATGGATGAGGTATGGTTTCCCACTAAATTCTCACAGGACAGCTCTTTATACCCTTGAAGAGCTGGTGCATTGTCATGATGAAGAAAAAAAAATAAAATTCCCCAGTCTTTTTCTCACCAATGCATTTTTCTTAAAACAACTTCATAATATGCCCCCGTGTTCATCCTGTGTCCTCAGAGAAAATCTATCAAGATGACCTCTTTGGAATTCCAAAAAATAGTTGCTATAACCTGAGCTGACCTCTCTGCCTTGAACGTAAGTGGTCCAGCAAATCTCCTTGAAAGTCACTATTCTGATTGGATCTTTTTTTTTTTTCTTGAAGGCACCTTAATGGAGACTAAGCCAAGTATATGATGGAGAAAACTTGTCTGCCTTATAAGCCACTCGCTGACATGTTTTATTTGGAACAGACCCATCATGTATGAACTAGAATACTAGTAGCAGTATTTTTTTATCTTACTCTAGTAATGTGAAGCATTCAGTAGTAGCAGGCTGTAACTACTCTTAATATCAGCTTTAAAGAAAAGCCAACCAAACAAAACCCAAACACACACACTGTCATTGAGTCCATTCAGATTCACGGTGCCCCCATGTGGTCACGCCAGGTGGTACAGAGTAAACGGCTCTGCTTTCTTGGCTATAAGGGCTGTGGATTAATGCGCTGGACTGCAAGGTTGGTTTGAACCACCAAGTTGGTGGTTTAAGCTCACTAGCCATTCCTCGGAAATCCTATACACTACTGAGCACTACTGAGTCGGAACTGACTCAACGGGACTTAACAACAATCTTAATAAAGGCAGATCATCATAGACCGTTCTTCCCTGGTATCATTATGTGTGTTTGCACTGCCAACCTTGTACTTAGCAGCCAAGCACACAACTGTTGTGGCACCAGGACTACTGGATCCCACATTATTCATATATAAAACAATCTCAATGCTTTGTTCTGGCTTTTCTCAAGTTATCAGGCTATGTTATTTCCATCAAGGGACTCCTGGTGTGGCACTGTAGGATAAGCACTGGACTGTGAACCACAAGGTCAGCAGTCTAAACCCACCAGAGTCACATCTCAGAAATCCTATGAGTCAGAATCGACTCTTTTAACAACAACGACAAATTACCATCAAGAACATTAAAAAAATTTAAGCAATAAATTAGGAGAAGCTGAATTTAAATTGCTGAGTTAATTCTTCAATATTCTTTTAAATCTTAGTTGCTACTGGTGTGGCGTTGTGGGCTAATGTGTCACACTGCAAAGTTGTTTGAACTGCAAGGTCAGTAGTTCAAGCTGCTCCTTGGAAACCCTATATAGGGTCGCTATGGGTCAGAATCGACTCAATGGCACTTAATAACAACAACTGCTGTTTTAAGTGCCATCAAGTTGGTTCTGACTCACAGTTACCTTGTATAAGGTATTCAAGTCTGTAAATCTTTGCAGGAACAGTAACTCTCATCTTTCTCCCAAAGTGGCTTTGGTGGGTTTGAACTGCTGACCTTGTGGTTTTCAGTTCATTGCTTATCCTACAAAACCACTCCCCAAATACTAACAGATGTTTTTTGTTTGTAAAAAGCAAACAAACAAAACCTAGTAGATATGAAAAAATAACTGGCGCTGTAGGTAAATGTGCCAGACTGCAAAGCCGCTTGAACTGCAGGGTCGGTGGTTCAAGCTCACCATCTGCTCCTCCGAAACACTATACAGGGTCACTATGGGTTGGAATCGACTCAATGGCACTTGACAACAACAACAACAATTTATTCTATAAAATAAAAAGAAAGCTTACCGAGAAAAAAAAAATCACACGTATTTAAATGTGAATAGTCATTAAAACAAAAATAAATAGAAATTATGTCTCAAAATTATGGCATAAGTTGCTTTCCTAAAATAATACAAAATGTAACTTCATTTGGATAAAATTGAGCTTTTAATATGGATGACATGAATTATGTAACCCAATTAAGGCTTTCCTTAATTATTGGTCTCAAAGCAAAACATAAATAGGTAAAAAAAATACAAAAATAGTCTGTATCGGAATCAAACCAGCCTGGTGCCATCACGTCTTTCTGACTTACAGCAGCCCAATGTGCTACAGAGCACGGTGTTTTTGACTATGACCTTTCAGGAAAGCAGATCATCAGTGCTTTTTTCCTCAACACCGCTGTGGTGGGTTCAAACTGCCGGCCTTAGGGTTACAGTTAAGCTCAAACCATGTGTACCACCCAGGACCTAACCTGCTGCGGATGCTGACTCACAGTGACCCCAGAGGACACAGCAGTACTGTTCCCATAGTGTTTCAGAGACTATACATACTCATGGAAGCAGACCGCCTCAGATTTCTTCCAACGAGCAGCTACTGGGTTTGAACCGCGCTAATCTTTTGGTTAGCAGCCCAATGCATAACACACCGTACCACTAACACTCCTTCACTTTGTAGTGTTGTTATGTGCCGCCAAGTTGATTCTGACTCATAGTGACCCTGTACAGGGTTTCCAAGGAGCAGCTGTTTAGCCTGAACTGCTGACCTTGCGGTTCAAACCAAACTTGCAGTCCAGCGCATTTAACCCACAGCACCACACCAAGACTCCCTGTATAGTATTAAGGTGAGTATAATTCTAATTCCTGCTCCCTCATTCTACTGGCTAAGGCAGTTTGATTTTATTGAACTCACTCTAAACTATTCCTAAATGAAAGGTTTCCTTTATTTATAACTCAATTACTCCTGGTGTGAAGTGATTCCTACCATAACTTCCTTGAGCTTTCTATTTTATCCGCTTATAAGATTTTTCCCTTTAAGTCTCCAAAGCTACTTATAGAGTATTGAGGAAAATAAGGTTTACAGTAAAGTGTCCTTTGTGCATATTTTATACATGGCTTAACTCTAAAATCCCTAAAATTTCTTGCCTACTATAAAATTAGGCTGCTCTCCACCACATAATGGTGAAAGAATAAGATGTAAAATCTAAAATAATTACAGGTCATTTGTAATGTGACTTATCATACCTTGGGAAAACTTACTTCTTGAAATTATACCATCATGATTCTAAGAAGGTGGTTTCAAATTCAAAATAAGGTTCCACTGTATTTCTAACCGTATTTTCTATGATCTCTGTATCTCCATTTGTCTACCAGTGTAACACTCAACCTGTCTCAGTATCTTTCCTTCCCACTCCTCTAGATCTACTTCTCTTCCTATATATGTTGTTGTTATGTGTGTGGAGTCGGTTCTGACTCATAGGGTCCCTGTACAGGGTTTCCAAGGCTATAAATCTTTACGGGAGCAGAAAGCCTCATCTTTCTCCCGCAGAACACTTAGTAGTTTCGAACTGCTGCCCGTGAGATTAGCAGCCAGATCTGTAACCACTACGCTACCAGAGCTCCTTGGCTATCAATTAAAAGAGGCCACCATTTCTCCAGTCAGTGAGCCAAAAACCCTGGCATCATTTCTAACCCACTTCCGAGGTTCTTCCACATCCTTTCTTGAACTTTTACTTATTCATTCATTCATTCATTCAGTTTATGGTGAGTAGTTTTCACAAACCAGAGCAGAATAGCTAGAATATATATACACTTAATATATATATATATGAGTGACACAGAATGTCTGCCTCAAGAAGCTCTTAGTTTTAGATGGAAAATAAATTACCAACTGCTTCATCAATTTCTTTACAATTAGACATGAATACAATCTCATCAATCATTACTAGAAACATACTCCTCTCACCAACGAGGGCCACCATATTACTTTATTCCAGCTCATTTTATTTCAGGCCTCTTCCACACTTAAGAGCAGGAAAGCAGCAATATGAAGGGCCAGGTAACTTCCATTTGAGATGCAACTAAGAGCCACTCAAGAGTGTTCAAGGAAGAAAGTTTTAATGTGCCTTTGTTAAGAGGCATGATTGATAGAAGGGCTATAGTAATTAAATGATTTATAAGATTCTTTCCAATTCTAAAGTACTGTGTGAACAAGTGTTGCTTTCATTATCACTTACTCCCTAAGTATTGTCTGTCATGTGCCTGATACTGTATTAGACACTAAAACTATAGTAAAAATAGATCTGGCCTTCATGGAGTCCAGCGTTATTAAACAAGATAAGGTTCAGGTAGTATAGTGTGAAATGAGGCTGAAGGGACAGAAAAGACAAGAAGCAGGTCAGGCAAGATCATATTAAAAATGTGGAATTTACACCAAAGTGGAACAGGATGGCCATTTTCTGGCTGCTCTGTAAAGGTGAGCAAGAGCAGAAACAACAGACAGTGAGAAGGATACGGTGGAAGGTGGGGAGCATGGAAATGGTGGGTAAAAATGAAGGTAGATGGATTCACAGTAAAAGTAGACTTAATAGGGCTTGGTATTATATTAGATGTGGGAGTAAAGAGAATGAAGGGTCAGAGATGATTTCCACATTCATGTTATTACTGAAAGGAGCCTGGTGGTATTGTGGCTTAAGCACTGAGCTGCAAACTGTAAGGTTTGAACCCAACAGCTGCTTTGTGAGAGAAAGATGAGGCTGTGGGCTCCCAAACAGACTTG